GCGTTGCCATCGCCGTCGTCATCGGCGTAACCGTGAGCTCACGTGACCCCCCGCCCCCCCTCCGGTTTCATGTGACCCCCACTGAGGTCACGTGACCTCCATAAAAGGGGGGTATTCCCTCCCCTCAGTACCCTTCCATCCTCCTCCTCAAGAGCTGCGCTCTAATTCGGCGTTAAAGGGAGTTCTAAACGGCTTTCATATTTGTTTTTCGCCAAAATAGCGTTCAGAACAACCCTATAATAAAGAATGAAAAAAAACACAAAAAAACATCAACAGGAAACTGCCTAATTTATCGGGGAGTCACGTTTTCTCTCTCCTTCATTTACTCAATCTTGTTTTCTATCTCCTGTACTGTTTTACCGTTTTTCTTTTTACTTTTAGAACAACGAGATGCCAGACTTAATAACGGTTCGAGCCTGACCGCCCGATTCCGAGTCAAGAGGTCCAACGCGTCAAGAGGTCCAACGAGTCAAGAGGTCCAATATTGGACCTCTTGACTCGTTGGACCTCTTGACGCGTTGGACCTCTTGACTCGCCGTGGATCTCTTGACTCGTTGGACCTCTTGACGCGTTGGACCTCTTGACCCATATTGGACCTCTTGACTCGTGCCTGAATGTACGTGTCAAGAGGTCCAACGCGTCAAGATGTCCAATACTGGATATCTTGCCTCGTTGCATCTCTTGGTGTGAAATATGCACAGGCAAAGGGTGTGAAATAAGTACAAACAAAGAAAAGAAAAAGAAAAAAAAACTACGAGGGCACCTTAGCTTTTTGCTATAAATGATGTGAGAATGCGTGAGGACAACCTCTGCTCGAGTTATGTTGCCGCAACGGCTAGCGTGCTAGTAGCATGGAGGGCCTAGGTTCGAAACCAGGCAGAGCATGGTTTTGTGCTCACGTGTCTAGAAAGATCACGTGACCAGAGTTTTTTTTTTCGGCTTGGTTACGTTACCAGAGAGGCCACGTTACCACAGATGTTTTTTTTTTAATTGTTTTTCGGTTTGGTTTCGCGACCAGATAAGTAACGTGACCGGAGTTTTTTTGTTTTTATTGTGTTGGGCAAGTTACAAATATATCCGATGGCTTTTTCGCTGATTGAGCCAGGTAATGCTCGCGCATTAAAAAAGCAGAAAACAGAGATGCTAACAAAATGTCCCTAAGACGACTTGCAGGCGAAAGCCCAAACGCCGATGCATTAAAGACAGACAACCTTCCTAATGTGCTGAGTCACCCTTCTTAATGTGCTGAGTCGTCCTCCTCAATGTGCTGAGTCATCAACTCAATTCGCTTAGTCATTCATTGCTTCCAATTCGCCTGAGTGGTCAAGTAAACGTTGTGGTACCTTTCGTGTCGCTGACGTGCTTTCACTCAAGGACTTTGAAGGTCGACTGAACGATGGGACATATAAGGCTTTCGCCTTAATAATGCTGAGAAGAAAAATGTTAGAAAAAGAGCAAAAAGTTAAGCTGTGAAGACTTCCACACGGCAGGGGAAATCTCACGAACACGGGTTGGATACATCGTTTCTGTCCGGTGACGTAATCAGTGTTCGTGTATGACCCGTGATTTGCTTGGTTTCTGAAGCTACAGATACGCGCGCGTTGGGCTGTGGAGATTGCATACTGGACACTGAACTTTTATATACCGGAAATCTTTGTTGTTATAAACTAACTATAATTATATATATATACATAATTTTTGTTACATCATTTTCAATAATTGTAGTAATTGTTTTAATTTGTTCACGTCCCGTCAAAATAGCTTCATCGATATTTTGAAGTCCTTTGTCTTCGAGGAGCTTGAAGAGACAATTAGGCCTGGCGCAGCATGGCGTGTAAAGTTAGTCATTTTTCCGTTCGCCGTGGCCTAGCACTGGACACACCAGATCTATCGTCTTCAGAGATCGACGCGCATTCCGACACAAACAGTTCTTCAATCGACTTAATCTCTATTATCCAATTTTCTAAAAATGATTGAGAAACTAACCCACCATCTTACAATTCCACCCGACTAACACATCGCGTAATTTTTAAACTTAAAATAAATGATATCGAGAAGCAAGTGTTCGGTAATTTGTGTCAAAAGTGCTTAATCATAAAAAAGTTCCGTTTCATGGTTTATTTCACGGCATTCGCAAAAATAAAACTCAGCAAAGGAGTTACATATCGCTAGCATAAGCATTTGTGGCTACTCCGTGTTTTTCAGAAAATCGACGGCCCAAAATAACCCTTCTAGCTTGCACCGGTCATAACGGGTTCCGGAAAAAATGTCCCCGGAAAAAACATCCCCGGAAACAAATGTCCCGGGAAAAAAAGGCTCCAGGTGAAAAGTGATTCGGTGAACTCAGTGAATAAGAACTATAAAGCATAAAATAGTAGCGCATCATATTTTAATTCAACACGGCAGAAAGCTCAATCTACGACACGGCGTGTTAAAAGAGGGCGCGGCTGGTAGCGTTTACGGGAGCCAGAGTTGCGCGTTCATCTCCGTAGCGTCGTCTTTCCTGCACGGCATGTTGATCCCGCTCGTCACGTGACTGAATTCGGCGAATAGCGGCGCCGCGCTCTATTTGCCGAGATCCGATCACCTGAGGAGCCGGATCAAGAGCCATGCAGGAAAGTAGACGTTGCACGCGCGCCGGCGTACATTCCCCTGCTTTTGATCGCGCCGCGCGCTTCGAACGCGCGGCGCCACAATTCGCCGAATTCAGTCACGTGAGGAGCGGATTCCGCGCGCCGTGCAGGAAAGCCAGCGCTCCGGGGGTGAACGCGCAACTCTGGCTAACTCTACGTTTCACCATAGCCGTTTATTGGGAGAGTTTCTACCTCGTTGGAAAGTTTGGCCAATAGGTGGAGCAAGGGCCGCCGCCAGCGCCGAATACTGTCCCCGCGGTTAGAGCGTAAACTAAAAGGAGGACACAGCGTCGACCACTCAGCAGACTGCGACATCACAATATTGCAAACGACATTTAAAGCGTGAAATAGAAGCGTTCGATCTCGGCGTCTCGGTGACAGTTTGCTGTGGGCCGGCTTGGTAGAACAGCGGCTGAGATGAAACTAGCTGAAAGAAAACAGTGTAAAGGCTGGAGCGCGCGAGGTTCGCAAGAGCGAGCTAAATATAGTTTGTCATGCCATGAACCAGCGTTAATATGTAGGCAGGTTGTTTCTATTTAGCTATAAAGCTGGAACTTATAGACAATGTTTCAAACGTGCGGAATGGGGACTGTGCAGTGCCAACGCTGCGCTGCCCTCGTGGCGAAGTTTGGACTATAATAATAAATGTCTTTATTTTGCCAACAGTTTACAGTTGGAAGGTGAAAAGGAAAAAAAAGCTGTAACACAGCTTGACTCTTTCTTCGAAAGGAACTCTTTCTTAAAAAAAAATTGTTTTATTCATTTTTAGCGATCTAGATGTCGTCATGACACGCACCAGCTCGTTTTTTACGCGTTCGCTTGGTGTTGGCGGGAGGATCCGAACAATATGGTCCCGGACAAAATGGTAACAATCGTCACCGCGCCTGTAAATCGTCCCTAGGCTGAGAAGCAACCACACGCGCCCACGTGGTCCAGATCGAGAGTCGTCATAATAAACAGTCAAAAATCTATTTTGCTGTCCTAGTCGTGTCGTGGAAGTGCCGCCAAAAATCTTAAAATGACATACTCAGTTATTTCGATGCTATGCGTCGAATTAGTCACAACTCTTCCGCTATTGTCGTCCGCAGCCACGTGGTTTTCGTATTTGAGGTGCGCTACAAGAAACAAAAAGTGAAACCTTTGAGTCGGCAGAAGGTAAAACGTTGCAGACCAGAAAAAAGAAAATTTTGGCGGGTGGACTTAAACGTGAACTACTTTCGATGGAGTATACCGCAAGCAAAATTATGCTTTCCCGCATACTGGAAGTGGGCGTGGCGAAATTCAAGATGGCAGAGCCGTCGTGAAAGAGATGGAGGCAAAGAGGCGTGGCACAATCGGGGTTTGCAATCCCAGTTGCAATTATCAGATCCCGTTGGCTTTATGAGGTTGAACACCATAGCCGTCACTTCTGTTGCGATTGTATAGCTTATCTATTTCCCTCAAGTTTGCACAAAGAAGCTTTGTCGCTTGGAGAAAAAAGGTTCAAACCTTTTAGCGCTGGGACGCCGCTTGTGTTTGTATTCATATAAAAAAGCTTCGGAACCTCGGAACGAGGATTGTTGTATGTCCGGGCTGTTGGTTCTTCCGGGTGAGGAAAAGTTCGGCCTTAACTTTGCGTTTCTTTGTTCAAACTGTCACCTATCACTTGAACGATAAGGGCTGTCCCATATTCCTTTTGTTTGTTTTCGAAACAGGAGCTACGCCCCTGGGTTTTCTGGCAGAGGTAATTTTTCTGATACTTTGATGAAACAAGGTTTTTCGTGTTTTATTTTATTCCTCTTCTCTATTTTCTGGTTTGTGGGGCTGGTTACACCTCGTGCTGAGTGTTGTCGTTCGCTTTGACCATACTCAATAACGACCACCGCCAGCTTCATTGCCGAACCGTGAGTGAAACCCTCCACTGCTATGTCGCGAAACTTTGGATTGCCTTCGTTTGTACCATCGAATCACCGTTCCAAGTGGCCGGTTATTCAGTATCAAAGTCGTTGATGGGCCAACGTCGTCTTGGAGTTTTCTTTCAAGGGAGTGAATCCTAGAAACCCCGAAGTCAAGTACTACAGGTGCCTCAGCTGCCACCGACTCAGCAAAAAGAAAGATTCTGGCGAGAAGATTCCCATAGCACACCTGACCCTTGAAAATGGAGCAATGATGACGGACCCGGACTACCCAGCCACACCCCACAGCTGCCACCCGGAAATTGACGCGCCAGTGGCGAAAGTACTTGCAAATCGCTTTATGATGGAAGTACGGACAGAGATCAGACAGAACCGAAAGCGCCCGCGAGAGTCCTTCGATAATGCAGTGCTGTCTGTTGAAGAAAGGTTCAGCGAGCAAACCTCTGAAGTTCAGGAGGCCGTTAGAGGTGAAATGGTGACTGGTTACGGCTTCGCATCAAAACGCCGCGCTTTATCAAGAAATCGCCAATTCTCCGTGCTCAAAGGCAACACAGTTGACACAATTCTCCCAGAGCTGCAGATCACCAAGGACCTGAGACCCTTCCTCCAGCTTCAAGAAAACACCGACGGTCGGCGGATGCTAATATTTTTCGCCGACAAAGACGTGGATGCTCTACAGAACGCCCAGTATGTGCTAGGAGACGGCAACTTTAAGTACAACTCAAAGGAGTTCCACAACCCGGGCCAGCTCTACACACTCCATGCGGTCGTAAACGGCGAAGCGCAGCCAATCGTGTACGCGCTCATGCAGGCATTGGATGTACGTGCGTACGAGGTGCTACTAACATGTTTGAAGGATGCCATGATACGAAGGTTTGGGATCATTGGGGCCCTTGCGACCACTACAACTTGGATCTTCGACTACGAGGCAGCGGTGATCATCGCAACAAAGAACGTGTTTAGCACGACCTCTAGCACACCAAAGGTTAGTCTTTTCTTTTGCTCTAACGTAAAAAAGAAGCACCCTTGTATTTCTGCATAGATTTAAAACAGCATTAGAGAGTCAGTGCATTACTCGGAGCGAGATAATTGTTGGTACTTTAACAGTACCACTAATCGAAGCGGCAGCGGTAAACAAAGCGGTCAGGCGCATTCACACTTGCTGCGAGGCGCCAATATGAATGCGTCTTAAAGCGGACGGCTTAAAGCGGACACCGGTCAGCAAAGTATCAAATTAATTGCATTGTTGGACTACAGTGAAAACGTCGAATTTTGACTGCCCCCCCCCCCCCCTGTTTTTTTATCTACTACTTTTTTTTCTTTATTATTTCTTCCGGTGGCCACCTTAGTAATATTTAAGTGCCAAGTATGCTGCTTCATTCTGGTTAATATTTAAAATTATGCACTGGTATTTTTGGTTGTTTCTATCTCATCTATCGCGCTTCCTACCTTCCGTTGATTGGTGATACAGGTACGCAGGATAGCTTTTTAATGAATGCTTGAAAAGTGAAAACTACCGTTACATTTTGAATGTAGCACCATTAAATTTTAAATATAAGCATGAAGTAATCTGTGATGGTCTTTATTTTTTTCAGATCAGGGGTTGTGCTTTTCATTTCGCAAAAGCCATCAACACGAAGCGAGACGAGCTCGGCCTCAGGGGCCTCTGCAACAGCGACACAGCGGTCAACGAGTGGCTGCGGAGGGTGCGCCACCTGCCGTTCATCCCAGACAACTTCCGCCTGGAATTCGCTGCGGATTTGATCGCAACGAGACCACCGCTGGCACCACTAGACGCTGGGCGGCTGCAGCAGTTTGCGAATTACGTAGACGGGTTTTGGTTGTCAAGCCCAGTAGTGAAGGATGTTTGGGGGCAATTTGGGGCACAGGGTCCCCGCACCACTAATATGGTCGAGGGGTGGCATAATGGCCTCCACGGTCGGCTGAGCGCCTACCATCCAGCCCTGGCTGAACTCATTCAGTTCATTCAAGTTTCCCAGTTCACGTCGCAGAACCGAATTCAGGCCCTCTTGAGGGACCCCCTTGCTGTGGCATCGGCACCATCGAGACAAGTCCGGGAAAGGAACGAGAAGCTGCGAGAGGAGATGGCCCTCTTCTCGTTCCTATGTTTCAGCAACGGCCCCAACCTTCCAAGACATTATAAATTATCTAGATAGAGTTGCCGCGTTCGGGCTCCTCGTGCAGTAATTACGAACAGTTCAAAATATAAGATGTCTGTGCATATGTACTTAAGTTGTTTCCTTCTCAACCCTGTGCCTCTGTTCGTCGAATATCTGTAACTGTGCGTTTCTGTTTCAATAAACATTTCTCATAACACCTTGGTAACGTAAAATAACGCCTAAACAGTACCTAACCGACAAGTTATGCCTGCCTTGTCGGACATACTAGGCCGAGACTGAATTATTTTACTTTACAGGGACCAAGAAACTCGTATGCTCTGTTACGCATTGAAAGAAAATTAATTATGTTTTGGGGACTATAGCATTCGGCAACCATTTAAAGGAGCGCCTATCGGTACCTATGATTGCAAGTATTTTTAATAGAGCATACGAGAAGCCGGGACTGGACAAAGTTACCCAGGGAAGTATTTGCGAATACAAATACTGAGATACATTAAAGGGAAGGCTAAACGCGAAATGCTGAGGTACATTTGTATTTTAGATGAAGGGAATTTGATAGCCACTTCTGTAGAAATGGCATAAATGTGTTTTATAACCGAGAAACGGGAAGACAGATACTAAGTTCTACAAGTCCAAAAGATGTCGTCAGGCACTATCCAATATTTAACACTCAAATACATACTGTAAATGACTTAAATTTCGCAAGGACCTAATTTTCGCGGGTCGCCTTCAATTCGCGAAAAAGAAGTACCGCGAACTATTCCGGTAAAATGGAAACACATTGGAGACTATATTGAGATCCCCCCGCGTCACGGAAATTAGAACCCGCGTATTATTCCAAAACTTCAGCTTTCACCTAAATCGCGAAATAGTGAGCCCGCAAAAAGTAAGTCGTTTACAGTATACGTTGTTGAAAATAGTATATGTCTACTTGTCACCAATAGCTATGTAGCAGTTGTATTGTCCCAAATCATTCAAATAGGTCAAACAGTCAGAAACTGTCACAAGCAGCCATTAATAGCAATATAATTATAAACAGAGAAGATAAAACATAAGGCTCGATGGACCTCTTGACGCGTTGGACCTCTTGACGCGTTGGACCTCTTGACGCGTTGGACCTCTTGACACAAATTGGACCTTTTGACTCGTTGGACCTCTTGACGCGTTGGACCTCTTGACTCGAATTGGACCTTTTGACTCGTTGGACCTCTTGACTCGGCTGTCACGTGGCTATTGGACCTCTTGACTCGTTGGACCTTTTGACTCGTTGGACCTCTTGACCATAAGCGTGACCGCCCCACCTTTCATCTGTTGGGGAAGGGAAGGGGGGGGGGAAGAGCTGGTGCTCGTAAATAAGTAATAAATACTGTTCCCGCTGTCTTTAGTTTTCTATCTTATCGCCGCGTCGTCTTTGTTATATCTGAACATTTCTACTCAAACTCTTCCGTGTTTGTAGAGGCGTGGTAAAAAAAAACAAAAAAAAAAACACTTAACTCAAGCAGCGCCTTTTAACCGAGCAGAAACTACCGCTTCATTAATGAGATCTGATTCGGTAAGTATAAGCGTCAGCAAGAACATAAACACGAAAACACAAAGAATAGAAAGGGACATAAACGCCGCTGACTGACAACTAGCCTATAAGTCCTATTCTTCGTCTTCTGTCTTTATTACAATAACGTGGTTCCTGCGAAAGATCTCTGAAAAGGAAGTACTTAGGGTTAAAGACGAGGAAGAATTAATTTAACCTAGTTGTTAGCCAACGGTGTGTACATTCCTATCTCTCCTTCGTGTTTTTCGTGTTTATGTACTAGCCAATGCTCATATTTAACATGTACCAACTGGCTTCACCTACGACTGCTAGACCTGATTCGTGAGTAAGGCCCAGATAGTGCGGTCACATCATATTGTGGTTTCGACAGGCGAACGGTAAGCCTTGTTCGGACTGATGAAATGTCTTACGAAAGACGCTCAGCAGCCGCTCTCTGACACGTGTTTCTTCCCTCGTATGGCGATTCTTTCACGCTGGTCATACACAAATTATCTCTACACACGTTTGAAGCATACATAAGTATGAAGCAGACATGCCGCGAGCATCTTTGTGGGGCGTCTGAAGGTTATTCTGTCACCATGTCTGCAGCGTTCAACGCGACTTTTATATGAATGTTTGAACAGTGTGGCTGCGGCTCGGGATTGTCTAAAGACGACATACGGCGTCTGGCGTCTGCGCTGTGCAATGCGCGACACGCAGCGGAGTAAAACAAAATCATAATTTTTCTGTTTTAAAAAACAACAACAACATAAATCAGATTTATTGCAGTTCAATCAAATATATTCGATTTAGATCAATTTAATTTTACTCAAATCAAAGTACTTAGCTTGAAAATAGCAATTCTTCAAAACTAGCTATATAATCTTTTTTTAGCATTGCAGGTTGGTCGATCGATTCGTCCGGTCACTGATAAGAATGCGGATCAAATGATTACTGTCATTGTAGAGTACAGTTTATTTAACAACTTTTTATTGCTGGAACTTTCGCCATACTAGAACGAAAAGCTTAATTTGTTTTGTTATTTCCAAAATGATTGTTTGATTTTCTTTTAAAGTTTTAACTTGATTGCAACTGGACAATGTACTCTTCTAGTTTTTCATTCTTTCTTTTTGGTTCTGATTTCTTGAAAGACGTCACGTAGCTGACGAAAAAAGTGGAAGGTAGAAATCAAGCCCAAACCTTAGATTTGCTCAAAAGATCCCTTCACTTTGCTCTTGTTCAGCCTTGTATAAGTATTTCTTGCTTGATGCTTCTTTGATTTAAAGTCAAAACAAATGCACATAGCAGGCATGAAATGACCAACAAACGGTAAGTATGAAAGGGAAAGGTTGAATTTAAATCATCATCTCTCGGATATTTGCGCCGTAACCTCAAACTTGCTACACCCTCCGTAAAACGACCAGCGTATGCTGGTCGTTTTACGGAGGTCTTATAAGGTCAAAGCTAGAATACGCCTCATCTATATGGTCTCCATGGCAGTCCTACTTCGCAAATAATCTAGAATCCGTCCGAAACAGAGCCCTTTCTTTTATTTACAGCAACTACTCACCATATACCAGCATATCAGGATTACGCCAAGCACCTAACCTTCAATCACTTTACCCTCACCGCCGAGTATCACGCCTCTCTCTTCTCCATCGAATTTTTTATCGCAATAGCCACCCGAAAGAACCACGGCTATTACCTCCCCATCGTATTTTCCCGCGTCTAGATCGCCTATATAAATTACGTCCAATTCGATCATCAACTGTTTCTCACCAGACTTCCACACTACCATTGGCCATCGAGGATTGGAATTCACTACATCACAATATCGTTTCTATTAATGATACTACTACATTTTTTGAAGCTATTACCCTCTCTTTATCTAACCTACCTAACTACCTTACAATGTTATAATATTGTTTAGTGTTCCATACTTTTCTTTTGTCCTATTGCACCCCCCCCCCTCTCCCCTTGTGTAATGCCCCACGGGCCCTCCAGGAAAATAATGATGATGATGATTATAGTGAAACTGGTTGGACACATATCGCGACTTATATCATAATTATATTCATTCGAATTTTCATTATCCGCCCCAAACACGGCTAGAACGCGATTCGCTATTTTTTTCTGTTTTCCTTTTTAAAATGAAAGGATGCGGCAAAAACTATTAGTGTGGCGGGGAGTGCAAATGTCGGCCTCTAGCCAATAAGGGGAAAATTGAAAACGCATCAGTACTCTGCCAGAGAAAGTGCATTAACGTGCCGATGCCATTTCGCGCGAACCGTAGCGTGCAGTGAGCAGGGACCTATTGTACAGAGGAAAGATTGCCGAAAGACATAGTATGGCAGTTTATATAGGTAGAAAGATAGTGGGAGCAGGGAGGGGGGGGGGGGGTTTGACCCTATCGATGACACGTACCTTCACAGTTTCTTTTGTAAGTTTTTTTTTTTTTTTTAAAGAAGTGGCATTGAAGACAAAGACACACCATAGCCAACAAATATGTGCCCCAGAACGCGTGACCCCAGCCACGAACGCCAGCGGCATCCCCCAAGACCACATTCCCGGCGAAGTCCTAACCAAGTTAAATGCATGCGCCGCAGTTGCGATCTCCTAACGTCGTTGGCCATTTCACCTCTTCTTTGAGCCGCTAAAACGAACGGGGGCTTGTCTTTGTTTCACTTAGCATCAAAGAGAACATTAGTGGATTGCACAGCACGCTGCCGTGATATCGGCTATTGTAGCAGACCTACCTCATAACCTACATGAATATTCGATTCGGCTAAAGTGAGTTGATGATACGATCACCCTCATATTACAATCACATCATACTACCAAATCACCGTAGTAGCGATTCTAGTCAAAGCTGTCTGTAGTCAATATTTTTTGTTTATTAGAAATACTGTTCTAAACACGTATGAAAAATCGAAAGTTAACGAATCGCATGCCGGTTTAGATGCTGTAAGCTGCATTAACTATAGATGGCGTAGGCTCAAAATTCACATTCATGTATAGCAGTTCTTCTAACGAGTATTGCATAAGCGCTCCAAATTCATACCGGATTTTTCGCACCGAAACCTAGCGTTCTCTTGAC